CTTAATGTAAAGATATTTGGATTACTATTAGGAAACCGGGTAATAATTACTCATGCAGCCTTTCCTGAACATTGGTCACGCCAACTGAAGGCCAAAACATCTGGAAGGCACCAGGATAGGAAAGTTTATACTGATAATGCGTAAATAAGCATACACAAAATAATGAAATTTTACACAAACTTTCTATGTATACTTTCTCTTTTATACATTCCTACAAGCACAGTACACGAACACACACAATGAGAGAGAGAGAGAGAGAGAGAGAGAGAGAGAGAGAGAGAGAGAGAGAGAGAGAGAGAGAGAGAGAGAGGAGACAGTGAGTTCAGGAAGTAAGAGGATAACGCTTCTCCTAGATAATAAAATAAGAGGGCATCTTACCTCTCCTATGCCACCTTCCAATTCTGCAATAATATAGAATTGGCCTCACTAAGCCAAGCCTCACCTATGTTCCTCATAGATGATTGAATTAGAAAAGCTACAGAAAAGTGATCACTGCTTAATGGTACTTCAGCTATTGTACCATTATATGCTTTAAAAACTGCTAGCAGTTCCTAAATATAACAGGAGTCTAACCACCTTCTAAGCAGCCTTAAAGAACCTTGAAATTTAATTGCCCTCAATGAAGACTGCAGATTCTACTAATTTCATCAGTAAATGTGATAAACACATAGAAATGCAAATATTAAATTCACCAAGGGTGCAATCCTATGCATACTTAGATAGAAGTCCTAGAACTCCAAGGCAGAATGTTTTCCATCTAAACATCCATTTATAAAGTTGAAGTCCGGGCCAGATTCAAAGTGCTACTTCCTAACATTCAAAGCCCTAAATGGCTTACGGCCTGCTTATCTGAAGGATCACTTCCTCTAGTATGTACCTATCAGGTCCCTGAGGTAATTTTTTGGGGTCCTTCTCCAGGAGCCCCTTCCAAAGGAAGCATAGTGGATGGCTACTGGGGGAGGGCCTTTTTGGTTGAGGAACCCCAGGTTTGGAATGAGCTCACCAAAGAGGCGCACCTGACACCTACTTTATATTATTTTTGATGTCAGGTGAAGACCTTATATTCCCAATATTTTAAAAGTTTACACTGTAAACTCTGTTTTTATTTTTATTTATTACAGCATTTTATTCTGTACTACTGCTATGCATCTATGCTGAATCAGAGCGACTGTATTATGGGTTTATTCTTTTAAATTAATGTTTGTGTGTGTTTTTAAAAATTTGTTCAGCTTTAACTTTTGTTAGTTGCTCAGAGAACATAGGCTGTTGGGCAGTATAAAAATGAAATAAATAGCATTACATGCTATCTGTAGCTCAATCAAGTAACTAAATGATTCAACGCTTACCAGATTTATAAGCTGGTTAGTTAAGAACAGGCAAAGAATTGTGGAGGCTCACTTAGATGCCCAGTGTACTTTCTATAAAATATAGTGGACAATTCAGCTCTTTGTGAAATATAGCATTCCAAATTGCTGAAAAGCATGTTTAAATATTTTCCATTTAGATGCAACTTGAGTTTGCAGAAGCTGAGCAAGGTTGTCAAGGGCAGTACATTAATTCATAGGGTCATCACAAGGCAATTGAGGTCATGTCCACATAACAACAACAGAACACAGTTGCTGTCTATGGAAAGCTAGGATGTCAGTGAATGGCAGAAGAAGCCGAAGCACATAGCAGAGAAACTGCCATGAGTGTCTCATGGTTTTCTTTGGTACCCCCACTGCTTGAAGAATGCGCTTCCAAAGAACCATCTTCAGGGAATCAGAACAATACTTGTATGCTTGATTTGTAAAGACTTAACAGTATGTGCAAGAATCTATGATGTGTCCCAAACTTAACATACAAAGGGAATACTTATCTATCAAGGGAATGTGTTGCTTTATGGCACACTCTATTGGAATGGGGGAGTTTTAGAGTGTGCAAGTGGACTGAGTAGGGAGGAGTTATCAGCAATAGCAGTTTCCTCCTCTTCTACTGGTAGGAACATTTCCTGAGCAGAATGCTATACATTGGGATTTTCCACCAATGGAAATGAAAACTGGATCCAAGCCCTAGCGAGGGTATATAGGGAAGGTAAAGAGAAAGCTCATGAGGGTCCAACCCTCTGCCAAAAAAAGAATCTATCCAAGTTTATGCTTGTTGGAAGTGATATCATACCTTTTAAAAAAAGAAATTGGATAATCTTTGTAAAAGGGACAACACCCTCTCTATACAAGAACCTCCACAGCTCGTCAAAGAATGGACCAAAGCCATGAAGATTTACATTGATATTACAGGCATATCGATGGTGGAATGGTAGGATTTATTTTCTTTATCTTTATCATGTCAATTACAATAATAAATGCAACATCAATAAGTATAATATCTCAAAATATTCCAGACCAATGTGTTTCAGTCACACAGCAGTTTTGCCAAATCTGAATTTTCTTCACTTTGATTGTTCAATTATATATTCTATTTCAATACAAATAAAATGTTTAAGTTGGAAACCTAAGTAAGGATAGCAAGTAAGTCCACCTGAACTCAGCAGGTATTACTTCTGAAAAAACATGCATAGGATTATGTTGATAGGCTCCTATCTAAGCCACAGTTATACATGCATAAATTACATTGAAAGAAATGGCATTAAAGCACATGAGATTATGAATCAAAATGCAACTCTAATGTCATCCAAAAAGGGTTTTGATCATTGCATTGTATCATCTCAAATATGATCTCAAATCACTTAAACTTATTTTATGACCTGTTTGGATACAGCAAAGAAGCATTTAAAAATAATTATCTTATATGACACAATACAATTAACATAAAATGCATCATCTGATGAAACAATTTACAAAATTTATTTCACACACGATGAGGGCACTGCCCCAAAAAGTTTTGATTGCACTCATGTAAGGCTTGTTTTAACGGAAATTTGACAGATGAAAGAAAAGATTACAGGAAAACATATTATAAAACAAATCTTACAAGGCAAAGTTAATAGTGAACCTGTTCTTTCATGTACACAACTACAAAAACAAATATCCTGTAAACTCTGTATATAAACTGTATCTCTCTATAAGATCTCAGTGTTCAATGAAACTGCTTCTCATTTATCTCATGGCTGTATAATTTTATCATTGTTGACTAAGGTACAAAACAGGAGAACGGGACTGATCATCTGTGCAGCCCCAGAAAGTCTGATAACAGATTTATGTATTTTTCTTCTAACACTGAGAGAACAGAAGTGATGATATAAAATAGGAATATAGATGTTGGCTTTAATAAGCTAAGATGTTACTCTGGCTATGGGAAACTTTTTTCAGATAAAACAAAGGGTGTTAAAGATTAGCCAATTTATTATGTTGCAAACTTTCATGGACACAGTCCACTACATGCGATGAAGAAAACAGTGCCCATGGCTTCTGCCATAGTAAGTTTACTAGACTTTACTAGTAAATTTACTAACATTCCACACGATTTTGTTTTTGTTTTTTTGTTTTTTTTTTGTCTTTAACATGGTGACCCTTCTGGAAAGTTTAAGATAATATATAATGATTTTAAAGAATCCATGTTTACTACAGAATTCACTAACATTCAAAGTCCTAAATGTTTTGGGGTCAGATTATTTGAAGAAAGATTTGGTTGCATATGTACCTACCCAGAACCTGAAGTCACCCTCACAAGTCCTCCTCTAGAAACCCCTTCCAAAGGAAGAAAGAAGGGTAGCTACTGGGAGGAGGGACTTTTTGGTTGTGGCACTTCAGCTGTGCAATGAGCTCCTCAAGGTGCGTTCAGCACATATTCTTTTCATGCCAGAGAAATACCTGTTTCTTTTCCCACTGTTTTAAGAGTTTTACTTTTTAACTTTAGTTTTAATATTGCATTGCATTCCGTACTACTGTTATTGCTTCTATGATGATTCAGTTGCAATTGTTGTGGTTTTGTTGTTTTATATTAATACTTGTTGCTTGTATGTTTTTAACTTTTGCTAACAGCCCAGAAAGCCTCAGTTATTGGGTGGTATAAAAAAGATATAAATAAATAGTAAGCAAAAGAAAATTTGTGGATCAGACTATAAGTATTACTGACATATAACTATTGCACTATTTTGTGCAGGCATTGTGCTGTTTTGCCTACTTTACTCTGCCATTAATCATTTGTCACTTAGGAAATCTAAGGAGAACTTCCCTCTTCTTCATTTTTTTCTGGAGCTTTGCTTCTACCACCTTCCACTTACTTTCTATTATCACTCAGCCACTGGATGACTATGCAGGAAAGTTTGCCAATGTTTATAAGGAATTGTTCCCTTTGTTTGTTTGTTTTAAATCAAGCTTACAGAAAACTGAATTATATAAAAATAGCACTACAACCAAAATGGTGTCTTTGCACTAAAAGACTTGCTAATATTTATACCAACCCCCCATGTAAAACATCTTAATACAGTGCAAGCAAAGAACACCAAAAATGTGTATAAATACATACATTTATATAAATACATAAATATATATAAAGTTTAGAGCCCCTTAAGAAATATTACTGAAATATTCGTACTGAGATAACATTTCATCTGTGCTCAATAACAAATTCATATTTAGCAACAGATGACAAAATGGTCATTTAGGTGCGCTGATGAAATGTTACCACTTGCACTAAAATCCGAAGTAAATAAAGCTGCACGGAAAATATTTTTGGAGGGGAGCATAAATGAACTGGATTCAGAACATGTACTGAATAGGAATAAAAAACAATAGCCACAGCTTAAGCTTTCAGGCCCATTTTAGGATCTCTTCTGCCCAAATATCTTATCCAGTCCCAAAGAAAAGAGGAGAGACATTTTACCATTTGGGGAACAAAGACATTTACAAATTAGTGTGCATGATCTTTGAAACAACACTATACCATGCAGCTATTTTAACACCAGAACAACATGGCAAAAAACCTAATTATGTAGGGATTCAGAACAAATTTAATTTTCTATTAAAAGCATAATTCAATTTTCATTCCAATGATTCTACCTGTGATTCTTTCACATTTTCAACTGTGAAGTTGAACCAGACTCGAAAACGTGGATTACATGTGTCTGGTCTGATGAACAGATCATACTCAAACTCGGTAATGTAGTCTACACGTCCAAGGTTACCTAAAAAAAAAAATGTAAAACAAAATGTCATATAAAACATTTCACAATGAATATTGTGGAAGAAAAGGCTTTCCTCCCACAACCCAAAAGTGACAAGAATTTTGAAATTGTTTTCAATTGTTTTACTTCTTGTATATATTGTCATATAAAATGACCCTTGTAACGAAAAACAGCAAAGCAAAAATTAGGAGTCAACTTACATGCCCAATAAATAACAAACACCAGGAAAAAAAAACTCAAATATTGACCTCACTTTGTACATGCATTGCCTTATACTCTGATACATACAGTATTTCTTTTGTTTATCTTTTGAAAGTGCACAAGGTGGAGGCGGTAGGGATAACCTGCATACACTTAAGGAATTCTGGTAAGTGAGCACAGGTCATTGCAAGTGGCTGAGAAATCAAAGTTTTATTGACCAGCTAAAGACAACAGTCTGGGATCTGAGTTAGAAGGGATAATCTGCATATGCCTGAGGAATTCTGGGAAACAAGTGCAGGTGACCTCAAATGGCAAAGAAGTTGAACCTCAGCTGGCATGTTCAAGACTGTGACTCATGTACCTAACAGCACACAGAAATCAGAAAATCTTGTCCTTCTTATTCTTTAGCACATAATAAATGGAGAGGACTCTCCAGCAGTACTGACTTACAAGGAATGTGCAATGTTTGCATTCCTGCCTCTAATTAACATGGAGTACACCTGTAAAAGATAGAACTTGGTCACACTATTGGAAGAACAAGTGAGAGTGCTTGAGTAGCAGGTGCTTCCAAGGGATAAGCAAAAGTGAAGAGTTCTTGAAAGTAAAACAAGAAGGAAAAAAGTGCCCAAGATGGAAAGCAACAGATGGTTGAAGCAGATGTGGAGAATGGGGAAAGCCAAATGAAGAAAAAAACCCTCTGAAGAAGGATAACAAAAGCAGAAGAATCAGAATAGACTTTGCACCAGTGGAACCACTAGAGCTAAGCAACCACTTTCAGTCACAGGATGATGATGATGATGATGATGATGATGATGATGGACAGCAAACAACGGAAGAATTACAACGGAACCTGTACAAAAGAGAGCAAGAGGCTGAAGGTCAGTTTACCAAGAAAAGAAGAGTAGTCATTGTGGGAGACTCCTTGTTGCGTGAAATTGAAAATCAAGTCTATTATGATGACCCATGGACTCACCAGTATGCTGTCTCTGAGGAAGGCAGATTAGAGGTATGACCAAAACATGGCAGAGCTCACAAGCCTACTGATGCATATCCCTTTCTCCATGTAGGGTCAAAAGATGTTGGCAAATGGAGCTATGAAGAAACTGCATCACATTATGACACTGTGGCAAGGAAACTCAAGAACTGAAACATGACTGAAATATAGCATTTGAAGGGTATAAGAAATAAGGTGGAGTTGCATTTTATGTTAAAAATACTTATCCCTGAAATACAGGAAAATGAAGCTGTTGACCCCATCAAGAGCATCTCCACTTAAAATATATGTGTCAAGGAACAGAAAAACATCATAGTAGGAGTCTGCTCCCAACTACCCAATCAAGGAGAAGATGAGGATGAAACATTTGCTGAGCAAATTGACAGTATTCAATGAAAGGCATACAATTGTAATGGGGGAATTCAATTACCCAGATATCCATTGGGAGACAAATTCTGCCAAAAAGGCCCCCTCCTATCAATTCTTGATATGTAGGACTGATAGCTATCTTCTATAGAAAATGGAGGAAGAAGCTAAAGGATCAATTATCCTAAAGTTACTAATAGTGGATAAAGTGAAAGTTAGGGGAACCCTGGGGGAAACATACACATCTAGGTTTTGGGAAAGCTAATTTTAATAGATTCAGAACACTGATAAGTAAAGGTCCTGCTGCAAGTGACCATAAGGTAAAAAGGAGTTCAAGATGAGTGGGAACTTTCATTTTTCTTGGCTTGGCTTGGCTTGGCTTGGCTTGGCTTTGTTTTAGACACAATTCCAACAAAAGCAAAAGATACAAGGTGAAAGATGAAACCACAAAATGCTTCATGTTCACCTAAAAACAATAGGGACATATATTGGAAGTGGAAGGAAGGCCAAGCTACCTAAGAAGATTACAGGTAGCACAGAAGTACAGGAATGATATCAGGAAAGCTAAAGCTGAGGATAGCAAAGGATGTTAAAAGTAACAAAAAAAGCTTTTTTTCAGGTATGTACACAGTAAAAGACAGAGAAAAGAAACTTCTCAATGAGGAGGGCATATGGATAGCAGATGACAAAGAAAATGCTTAAATGCCCAGTTCCTACTTTGGTTCAGCCATCTCCCAAAAGCAGATTCATGATCCCCTGGCAGAAATGAAGTATAGACTGAAGGGCCAAGATTGAAACTGAAGATTAATTAACAAATTGTCAAGGAACAACTAATTTATCTGAATGAGTTCAAATCCGCAGGGTACTAGAGTAATAAAGGAACTGGCAGAAGACCTTTCAGAGCCATTGTCCATTACCTTTGAAAAATCAAGGAGGATGGGTACAGTGTAGGATGCCTGAAAAAGGGCTGCTGTTATCCCTATCGTCAAAAAAAGAAAAGAAAAAAGAGGATCCTGGGAACTACCGACCAGTAGTTCAACATGACAGTAATCTCTGAGAAAATTCAGGAACAGTTAATAAGAAGTGCATCTCTAAGAACCATGAAGACGATGCTTTGATTACTAGAAGCCAGCACAGACTCATCAAGAACCAATCTTGCCAGACTAAGCTGATCTCATTTTTTGATCAGGTAACGCAACAAAGCTAGTGGAGGTGACAGTATTCCAGCTGAGTTATTCAAAATCTTAAAAGACGATGCAGTAAAAGTGCTGCACTCAATATGCCAGCAAATTTGAAAACTCAACAGTGGCCACAGGATTGGAAAGGTCAGTTTACATTCCAATTCCAAAGAAGGGCAATGCCAAAGAATGTTCAAACTACCGCACCATTGCACTCATTTCACATGCTAGCAAAGTTATGCTCAGAATCCTACAAGCTAGGCTCCAGCAGTATGTGGACCGAGAACTACCAGAAGTACAGGCAGGATTCGAAGAGGGAGAGGAACTAGAGATCAAATCAAAACGCTGGATCATGGAGAAAGCTAGGGAGTTCCAGAAAAACATCTACTTCTGCTTCATTGACTATGCTAAAGCCTTTGATTGTGTGGATCACAACAAATTGTGGCAAGTTCTTAAAGAGATGGGAGTACCGGACCATCTTATTTGTCTCTTGGGAAACCTATATGCAGGTCAAGAAGCAACAGAAAGAACTGGACACGGAACCACTGATTGGTTCAAAATTGAGAAAGGAGTTTGGCAAGGCTGTATATCGTTGCCCTGCCTATTTAACTTATATGAAGAGCACATCATGAGAAAGGTGGGGCTAGATGAATCTCCAGTTGGAATTAAGATTGCTGGGAGAAATATCAACAACCTCAGATATGCAGATGATACCACTCTCACGGCAGAAAGTGAAGAGGAACTAAAGAGCCTCTTGATGCGAGTGAAGGAGGAGAGTGCACAAGTTGGCTTAAAACTCAACATTAAGAAAACTAAGATCATGGCATCCAGTCCTCTCACTTCCTGGCAAATAGATGGGGAAGAAACAGAGGTAGTGACAGATTTTATTTTCCTGGGCTTCAAGATCACCACAGATGGGGACTGCAGTCAAGAAATTAAGAGGAAATTAAGACGCTTGCTCCTGAGGGGGAAAGCTATGGCAAATCTAGACAGCATACTAAAAAGCAGAGACATCACCCTGCCAACAAAAGTGCGTCTAGTCAAGGCTATGGTTTTCCCAGTTGCAATGTATGGCTGTGAAAGCTGGACCATAAGGAAGGCTGAGCGCCAAAGGATTGAGGCCTTTGAATTGTGGTGCTGGAGGAGACTCCTGCGAGTCCCTTGGACTGCAAGGCGATCAAACCGGTCAGTCCTAGAGGAGATCAACCCTGACTGCTCTTTAGAAGGCCAGATCCTGAAGATGAAACTCAAATACTTTGGCCACCTAATGAGAAGGAAGGACTCCCTGGAGAAGAGCCTAATGCTGGGAACAATAGATGGCAAAATAAGAAGGGGATGGCAGAGGATGAGGTGGCTAGATGGAGTCACTGAAACAGTTGGTATGAGCTTAAGTGGACTCTGGGGGATGGTGGAGGACAGGAAGGCCTGGAGGAATGTGGTTCATGGGGCTGCGATGGGTCGAACACAACTTCGCGAATAACAACAAACATCCTTGGTGGACTATGGGAATGTTATGATCATATATTGATTTCAGTATAGATTTTGACGAAGTGCCCCATTACATTCAGATCAGCAAATTAGCTAAAACTGGGCTTCAAGGAACAGCTATCAGGTAGATCCACAGTTGGCTACATACTGAACTCAAATGAGTGCTTCTCAATGGCATTTTCTCAAACTCAGGTAAAATAGGGTTCCATCCTGGGACCAGTGCTCAACAATTTTTATAAGGACTTAGAAGTGGAGGTGCAGGAAATGCTGATTACATTTGCAGATGCCACAAAATTGGATGGTCTAGCTAATACCCTGGAAGACAGTAACAAAGGGATCTTAATAGACTGAACCATTCGTGAAAGTATTATGACATATAATAAGGACAGATGCCAAGTACTACACCTAGGAAAAGGAAACCAAATTCACAAGTGCAAGACAGGGGATACCTGAACTCAACAGCACTACAAGCAAGAAGAATCTTGCAACTGTTGTAGAATATCTGAATATCAAGCTGAAAATCAGCCAATATTGAGATGTGGATACAAATACTAATCAGCCAAAAGAGTACCCTTGTGCAGTTAAGAAAGAGAGATAATTATAATAATCCCACTTACATATTTGAGACAAAAAACCAGAAAAGTTAACAGAAAATTGGCAGAAAAAATAAAAGATAATGAACGAATGACAGTTCTTCCGAACTATTTCAACATCACTGGAAAAGGGCAGACAGCAAAAAATACAGGCCTTTTTATTGCCCTTCCCAAGTGTCT